AGAGAGTTCTGTAAGAAATAAAATGACATCAGAGTGTTGAAGCACAGAAACACCTGAAAGAAAACAAAGCACCAAAATTTGCGAAGAAGTAGGCACATTGTGAAGGTTTTATTGTATTAGAAATGCAGGCAACAATACTGCAAAAAATGGTAAAGGAGTAACCCCCTGGTTTTAAGTCTTGTAAGATTCCAGCATTATTGGAAAAGTAAAAAAAGAAAAAAATTATTAGAGTGTAATAAGCCAATGATGCAATCTGTGGTCTTCAGACAACAATAAAATAATAGAGAAATAATATACAAATAAGTTAATAGATTTAAAAAATTAATAAATACTTTATCGTTTCAAAGAAAGCAAAAACAGATAAAATGTATCATAACGTAATATATTCAAATAGACAACACAAAGTAACATGATGAATGCAGGCCCAATGACAGCAAATCTTACATTAAATGTGAGTAGAACAAATATTCCAATTAAAAGATTAATATTGTCAATCTGCATTAAAAAATTAACCATGTGCTATCTATTACAGAAATAGCTTTTGGGCATGGAAATTTTGAAAATAAAACATTGAGGAAAATATATCACAAAAGTACTAACCAAAAGGAAGCTGTAGTAGACATATCCATATTATATGACTAGTTATAGTAATGCTATTAACTTCCTGGAGATGTTGTGAGGGTTAATTTGTTTGATACACAGCTCTTTTTATTAAAGTATACTGTCTGGCAATCAGTAAAGTTTCAGTGAGTCTTATTTATTGTTAATAAATGTACTACCATCTTTATCATTGCCTAGAATAAATACGCATTTAACTATGTCATTTAAAAGCCTATATGCAATAACTTATATCTAAAATTTAATATTTATATATTAGTAGAAATAAGAAGCAGTGAAGAAGAAAAAAGTAATATGGCTAAATATATCAACTCCTCCAAAATACAGGAAAAATGCATTAGGATAACAGATTTTAAATCAAAACATCAACAAAAATGACAACTTGGTTAAGCTCCTCTATTCCAAGACAAAGACTCTCAGGTATGATTTTTAGAAATATAGTTAAGTGAGATGTTCAAAGACCCTGCATAAATAAGAAGGGTTTTCTGATGATTACCCCGGGAGCTTTCTCTGCATTGCCAGACAGTGAGCTGGTTGGGCCTGAGAGCTTCCTTAAGGCCTTCCAAGTCCAGGTGACCAGTTTTCCTGGCATTCCTCTAAACCGTTGGCCCATGAGCTTACATTGTCTGGTGTCAAGGCAGGCTTAGAAAGCCCCTCCTTATGTGCTCTGTATGAAGCAAAACCCACCAAAGAAGTCCAGCCCAGGCTATGCTCCCACAGAGCAAGCCTTTCTACAGGAGACCTGTATTGGATTCTAACCCATAACAAAAGATTTTTGATGCCTTTCACTCAAAAACCTTCTCATTACACCTACCACATACAAATCATATGTATAAGAAGAAAATAAAATAAACAGTAAAAATGGTAAATAAAGACAAAAGCAGTTGGGTGTGGGGGCTCACGCCTATAACCCCAGCACTCTGGGCGGCCAAGGCTAGAGGATCACTTGAACCCAAAAGTTTGAGACCAGCCAGCGAAACATGGTGAAAGCCTGTATCTACAAAAAATACAAACCTAGCAAGTCATGGTGGCACACATGCTGTGATGTGGAGCTTAGGTCTGAAGCTTGGGGCATGGAGCAGCTGCCACTCCAGAGTCTGGGGCATGCATAGATTTAGAAGGGTGGTGGCCTGGTTCTGGGCAGCACAAAAGTTGCCCCTTTTTGGGAGAGAAATACACAGCGTCTCCCTGTCTGAGGGGTTGATGGTAGCAATGATTGTTAATTACCTCAGTGCTGAAAGCTACCAATATCCTCTGTAGAGCAGGCCACTGGGGACCATGGTGGCACCTGCCATTAAAGGTTGACATGAGGAAGTTTGTAATTATGGAATATTGCTGGGTCCTGATTGTGGCAATAGTTACTTGAATCCACACACATGGTAAAATTTCATAGAACTGCATACGTGCATAATAATTGTGCATAAAAACTAGTAAATGTTGACCTGTATTAATTTATTCACGTAGCTTTGTCCTACCTCCTATAATAGAGCTAGGAGATTAGGTAGAAGTGGTAGGTCAGAACATTGAGAGATAAACGAAGTAAGGACTTGCCAAATCCTATCACCTAAAGCGTAGTAAAGCATTGCAGGAATGCTTGCTTACTGCTTCTAAGTAGTATTTCCTGCTATTAAGATAGAACCATATAACCTTTTCAAGTATCTTCTATTTACATTCTCTACCAGACTAAAGGGTGAGACTGGTAGCAAAAGTCAGATTAAATAGAGTGCTTTTGTAATTTCTTATGCTTGTATGTAGTGGTCATTAATTTAAAGACTGGGGTAATGAACAGAGAATCAAGTCCAGTGGATAAAATGGAGCTAGTTTTAGGCTTTTGCAAAATGTCTATACAATATTTTGGTTGTGCCTACAAGGAAATAGAGTTGACTGGAAGCAAACACACCAGAATTCTACCATGTCTGATGGGCAGTAGTCTGTGATTAGCCAATCTCTAAGATCCTTTAGCTGCAGGGCTCATATGATCAGGAAGTGGGCTGCAAAAGTTATGTAGGCCTCAGGAAGGCCATGTCCTCCAATGTTTCAGATGTGGCCATGAAGGTCACAGGACAGAGAAGCCGTCTGCTATTGCTACCTTTGCCTATCATTGGGCACAGTGTGAAGATGTAATGCCTTAAGTAGCTGAGGTAATGAAAATGAAAAATGTCCAGTCTCCCTGAGGCTAGGGAGGAAGAAGGGAGCTAGACATCAGTTCACACTGATAACATGGAGTTACTAAGGATTCCTGCAATGTCTACCTCAAGTATCACTGGTGATGGAGTGTATAAACGTCACCCACATTTAATCTACCATTAAGCAGTTTACTGCTAAAAAATATAAAATAAAACCTAAAACAAAAACAAAACTCCTGTTTTTTTTTTTTTTTTAACCTTTGCAATTATTAGTTTATTAGTATCATCCAGGACTCAGATGTTCAGTATTCTTCCTGAAATTACATAAACAAATGCAAATGGAAAGAATCCAAGTCAAAATTATGTAACAAAACAGCACTCCATCACAAAAGTATGTAAAATTACAAGAACGCGATTTTAAAATACTGGCACTTTAAGAGAACTACAATCTCGAAAAACACAAAATTGCCAAATTGTTCCCTATGAATGAGTTTGGGTTTTGTAAAGAAAAATCATTCAAATAAATTGAATAATTCATACTGAGATGCAAAGTTTAAGTGTCTTCTTTCCTCTTGTCTACTTGGATTTATAAAGGGGCAAACCAAAATATAGAAAAATATACCCTATTTTTAATGTGGCTTCTTCATTTTAAAAGCTGGACCAATTAATTAAAAATACTTTTAATGGAAAGTTTTGTTTCCTGAGCAGTTTATATTTAGATAAATGGGAAAAGACATCTATAGCCAGCATTTTCATAGTCTTCATCGAGACTAATGTGAACAAAAAATTTAATATGGCAATCTTGTATTTTAAGCTCACACTTTTGGGGATACATTCTCTGGTCTTCTTTAATGTGGGAACTGCAAAATATAACTACCATTACATGGTAATAGGAGTTAAAAAATAGAGTCCTCATGTAAAGGTTAGAACATAATTTTCTATTAGTCCTTCAAGGACAGACTTTCAAAACGTTTGATTCTAATAATCCTATGCTGTGAGTAGATCGATTACTCTTCAGTTTGTAAATATAAGTGGGCTATGTGAAATTTCTTAACTGATCAAGATTTTGGATTTTCAGTTATGGATGAAAACTATCTCAAATTTACCCCCATCATGATATGCAGGGTGTGTAGACAAAAGCTTTTTATTAGCTAAATATATGACAGGATAAACACTGTAATAATTCATGTGATTCAAAATGAGCAAAAGCAAAAGACTAGCTTACCTCAAGCAGAAAAATTTCAGACCTATGGAAAGGACAATACTAATAAAAAAAACTGTATTTAGTTAGAAGCATTCAGAATGTCAACAAAACAGCTGCAACTTTTTTTTTTTTTTTGCAATTACAGAGTGGTATTCAGTTAACAGAACAACACTTATTTCTTATAAGCTGCATCAGAGACAACTGAAGATGAAAAAGCCACCATCCCCATATATAACTAATTTGTGCTGGGCACCAACAAGAGCCTGCTTTAAATTTCCATGCCAATTTACAACCCCCATGCTGTACCAGGCAAGGTTAGTGGCTATTGAAAATACCACCAGGTCAGAGCTATCTAAAGACACATTCAGTAGTGTGTTAACTACACAAAAAAAGACACTGTACAGTTTAAAAACAAATCTTACACAGCCTTACATTTCAGTTTTTTTCTTTAAAAGCAGTGAATTGTGTAGACAGGGGTTAAATGCTTTAGAGGCAAGAAAAATAACTGTGCTAGAATCAACTTATTCATCATCATCATCTTCTTCATCTGCATCTTATTCATCTTCCCCTTCCTCCTCCTCCTCTTCATCTTCCTCCTCCTCCTTCTTTTTCTTGCATTTTTCAGCCTTGACAACTCCCTTTTTGGCTGCATCGGGCTTTCCTATAGCTCTATAGGCAGCAATATCCTTTTCGTATTTTTCCTTCAGCTTCGCAGCCTTCTTTTCATAAGGCTGCTTGTCGTCTGCAGCAGTGTTATTCCACATCTCTCCCAGTTTCTTCACATCAATGGACAGGCCAGTATGTTCTCCTTTGATTTTTGGGCGATGTCTCAGAGCAGAACAGGAAAAAGGCCGAAGGAGACCCCTTGGGTGCATTGGGATCCTTAAGCTTCTTTTTTGCCTTCCCTTTAGGAGGGATACAGGTTTTCATTTCTCTTTGATAACGGGCCTTGTCCGCCTTTGCCATATCTTCAAATTTTCCTTTCTCTTGAGCAGACATGGTCTTCCACCTCTCTCAGCACTTCTTAGAAAACTCAGAAGTTGACTGAAGCATCTGGATGCTGCTTCTTATGTTCCTCCCAACAAGTTTGCACAAAAAATGCATATGATGACATTTTACCTCTCAGCTTCTTATGCTCTCCTTTGCCTGTGTTTAGCTATTTTTCCTCGGTGAGGCACAGAGTCGCCCAGTGCCTGTCCAGCTCTCACTTGCCCTGGTACTGTCTCCATAGAGCTGCATGTACTGCAGTGGCTGTCAAAAAAACAAAACTCTTAACTGCCACCTCTCATGCTCTACATTGTTTTAGCTTCTAGGTTCCTTGGTCTTTTTACAGTCATTTTAACAGGGACTTTGTTAAGAGGAGGTCGACAAGTATACACTGCGTAATGTAGTAAAAAGGAAGCCTAAGAATCAAACATATAATGAATGTGTCTTTTTGACCACTGGAGAAAGGATGAGTTAAAGAATACTCTTTGAGATTGGGTTTGCCATTTGAGAAAATGGGGCTTTATAATATTTTACCACAATTTTATGATTAATTTTTATTTCTGAACTGACAAACACTGTAATTTGTGAATACATCAGATAATTTGAGCTTAAGCAAATTTGGCTCTTATTCTAATGGTAATTTGGCAAGTCAGTCATTCTAACAGAAACTCACTTGCCCTAAACCTTAGTTTCATTTTCTAAAATTTGTGAAAATGATACTTATATTACAGGGCTTGTGTGAAGATTTAAGCACGTGGGCACATGTGCTTACCCCCTAAATCCTGGTCCTCTTTGTAGGTGTTTGCTGTAGTTGAGACCTGGGAAATGAAATTTGTGTGTCTCAAACAAAACATGCCACAGTACGGAGAGCCATCTACCACCCATCTCTCTTCCTGCAGTGTTTGCTGTCATGAACCTCAGCTGCCTGACCTAGCATCCTCTTCACCAGAACTGCCCCAGCCAACACTGCTGTGGGTACCCTATCTCCAGCAAGCAGCATGTGCCCACAGTTGGCCTCTGAAGCTTGTGCTGACTACACCAGCTTACACTTATCCAGGCACATGCACTGCTAGACTCAGGCACCACCCAGAGCCCCAGCAACTCTTGCAACTACTGCAGGTCCCTAAATCTTTTATCACCAATTACCAATTAATTGATAATGACATGAGTCCCAGCTGCCTATGCCATCAAGCCCCCTCTCTTACTCCCAGATCCAAACCTGACACATGCCCCTGTACATGGTCTCCAATAGATCCTGTGTTGCACCACACTCCAGCATACCCGATCTGACAGCACCTCCATGCTGTCCACATTCTTCAAAGCCGGAGGTCTTTCCTAACTGGAGTCAGTCCATAAAGTCTGCAAGAGGTGATTACTTCTTCAGATGTGAAGATACCTATACAGATCATGAAGAATCACAGAAACGTGAGACCCCCAAAAGAACACAATAAATTTCTTGCAACTGATTGCAAATCAATAGATATCTATGAACCATGTGACAAATAATTCGAAATAGTTTTTCTAATAAAGCTTAATAAGGTAAATAGGAGAGAATTAAGCGATTTAGTAATACCAGGAAAGCAATGCAAGAACAAAATTTGGAGTTCAACAACAAGATAGCAAAACCAAACCAAACCAAATCCCTTAATAGCAAACTCGATGGTGAGGAGGAAAAGGTCAGCAAACCCAGACAGGTTGTTTTAAATTAATCCAATCTGAAAGAAAAAGCAATGAATAAGAGTGAACAGAGCCTACAGAAATTATGGGACACAATAAAATATATATATACATATATATATGTACACACACACACACACACACACACACACACACACACACATGATGGGGTTTCAGAAGGAGATAAAAGAAAGAAAGATGCAGAAATCTTGTTTAAAGAAATACCCCAAAACTTCCCAAATCTGGGAATGAAAATAGCATGATTCAAGAAGCCTGCAGAATTCAAAATAGTTGAACATAAAGATGTTTACATCAAAACATATTAAAATTACATTGTTGGAAATCAAAAACAGAGAGAATTTGGAAAGAATTAGAGAAAAGTGATTTGGCACATACAAAGAAACCTCCATAAAACTATCACTGTATTTCTCAACAGAAATCTTACAGACCAAGAAAGAGTGAGACTACATGTTAAAGTACTGAAAACAATTTCAACCAAGAACCCTGTAATGCTATCCTTTAAAAATGAAGGAAAAAAAGAATCTTTTCCAGACAAACAAAAATTGAAGGAATTTGTCATCACTAGATCTGCCTTACAATAAATGTTTAAGGGGGATTTTCATATAAAATCAAAAGTATGCTGAAGAGCAAGGTAAAAGCATATGAAAGTATAAATCTCACAAATAAAGATAAATATACAGTCAAATGCACAATAACATAACACTGTAATGGTGGTATGCAAATTACCCATAACTCTACTGAAAATTCAAAACACAAAAGTATTAAGAATAACTACTAGAGTGAAAATTTGGCAATCGGTTCATATTATAAACAAGAAGTAAATTCTGACTTTAGAAACACAAAGTGTAGGGAGTGGTAAAGTGTAGATTTTTGTATGCAATTGAATTTAAGTTATTATCAAATCGAAATAGATGGTTATAACTGTAAGAATACTTGCACAAGTCTCTTAGTCACCACAAAGGAAAAACCTATACTAGATACACAGAAGATAAAGGGAAAGGAATCAAACCAAAACACCAAAGAATCTACCCAATAATAAAAAAGATAGTGAGATAGGAAGAAAAAATGCAAAAGAGGTAGAAAACAATTAACAGAATGACAATAGTAAGTTGTTGCCTAACACTAATCACTTTAAATGTAAATAAACTGCACAGTGACAAGTCACAGAATTGCTAAATGAACAAAAAAGATTTAGTGAAATACTTCGTGCAAGAGACTAACTTTAGATATAAGGCCATACATAAGTACGGAAAGTAAAGGAATGGAGAAAGATATTCTATGCAAACAGTAACTGAAATAGAGAAAGGGTAGTTATGCCTGTAACAGACAAAATAGACTTAGGTCACAAGCTGTCACTGGAGACAAAGAAAATCATTGTATAATATCAGTTTGACAGTAAGATACGACAATTTTAAATATATATATATATATATATATGCAGTATGCAGATGAATGTGTGTGTGTGTGTGTGTGTGTGTGTGTGTGTGTATACATATCTCCAACATCAGGGTAACTAAATATATAAAGGAAATGTTGACAAGTCTTTTGGGAGAAATTGACAACATACAACAATAGCAAGATACTTTTACTTCACTTTGAAAAATTGATAGAACATCCACATATGTAAACAACCTCCACGCTTTTCAATGGATAAGTGGATAAAGAAATTCACACACACACTCAGAGAGAGCGAAAGAAACAGAGGGAAGGAGAGAGAGAGAGAGAGAGAGAGAGACATAAAAATCTTATTCAACCTAAAAAAAGAAGGATATTCTGCCACCTGAGGCAACATGAATAGAGCTGGAAGAGATTATGTTAAGTGAAATAAGCAAGGCACAGAAAATACTTCATGATCCCTTTTTTGTAGAATCTATAATGATCTAACTGATAAAAGCAGATATTCTATGATTGTTAGGGGTTGAAGGAAGGGAGAAATGGAATGATATTTGTCAAAGGGTACATAATTATAATTAAGCAAGATGAGTAATTTCTAGAGATATAACATAGAGCATAGTGATGGTATTTATCAATATCTTATTGTGTGCTTGAACTTTGCTAAGGACAGCTCTTAGATTTAACTTATTGTACAAATAGTAACTATAAAGAGATGATAGACATATTAATTATCTAAAATACGTTCATTTCACAATGTGTATATATACATATATATCAAAACATCAAGTTGTATGCCTTATGTATATTTATGTTAATGCATATTGATGATATAATAAAGCATATGCTTTATTGCTATGTCACTAACATAAACATTATGTATTGTAAAATAAGTATCACTGATTTCTAGTAAAAAGTTGAAGATTGTAAAATCCATAACGGATCTTTTTGCTGGACTGCATGTTGTCAACACAACATCACCATGTCTTCCTCCCAAGGCTGCCTCTGTGTTGCAAAAAACAACATAGGAAATGCATTACTAATGTGATTTGGGGTTTCAGCTGGCCACCGTGAGAAACTGCATGTGATTTGGGAGGCTGAAAGAAAAGAGGATATTTTTCTCTGACGCAGCTATTTGTGGCTTCCAAAACTCTCCTGAGAACCACCCATTTTGCTGCTTTCACTGACGTGTTTGGTGGGAGCTTTCCACAAATACGTAACTGTTCAATTGGCTTCTTGAGAACTGCTCATATTAACAATCCTAGCTGAGATCATCCTTAGCAGAGTGTCTGACTTTCACTCCTTCAACTATTCCAACATGGTGTATACTCCAGTTTCTCTATATTAAAACTATCAACACTTGATATACCTGAACTTGAAGTCCAAGAGCAGATTTCGCTTTCCTGACTGAATTTTGACAAAACTACCATTACTGCCATACACAGCGTTACTGTATATATTAGCATGAAAAATCTCTTTAATTTCTGGTTCCCTGCAGATCTTAGAGGCCAGCTGATGGCATTAACATTTGTCACCACCCCGCTTTAACATTTCTATCCACTAAAATCAAGCCGTTCTTGAGAAATTCTTCAGTGTTCCTCTGTGCCTTGTTCCACGCTTTCCCTTTCTGAATTCATCATTTCTCTTGAGCTTCCACAACATGCTCTCTCTTCACAGCTATACTCATCAGTGATACCTTTCTACGCATCCAGACTTTAATTAAACATTGTCTCTTTCCCAAATTTACTGGATCATTTGCAATAGGGTAAAGATTCAGCTATAGCCCCATTCACCAAAAGGCTTAAAGGAGCTTACACTTCTCTTGACATTGAAAAGTAAAACCAATCAAGTTTTTTCTCAATCTACTCTTCTCCCTCCGCTTCAATAGCATCTCCAGTAAATCACTACACATAACTCACAGGATTTCTCTATATCATAACAACCGCCTTAGTTTTGAGGTATAAGTATTCATTATGATGTATATTCAACACCCTATACATACAGATTTTTGACTTTTTCAATTTCAAGAGATGTTTATCTATATATCAGCCAGCCAGAATCCCATAATAAGAATTTATCATATTTCCTGAGGTCTCCAACTTTGAAATCATACAGAGTTCTTCTCTTTTACCATCACCATCAATAATTCCATGCTTTTCACCTTCTTATATTCAATATGTCTCTGCTTTAACATTATGGAAACATCAAGTTTCTGCACAGTTCTTTTTTTTTCTGCCTTCTTTTAGTTTATTTTTTACATAAGTGCTGTTTTAATCCAGTTAGGGTACATGCATCCATGACATTTCACACCATTTCCCAGCACTTTTTAAGTTTTTATATTTCTACTGTAATACTCTGCCAAACCCTAGCCCTAAGCCCATCCTGGGACCTCACATCTGGGTTGCAGGGGAGATCATAATTATCACAATGCTATGGTGTGTAATCTCCAGCAGAGTGTGAAAGGACCCATCTGCTGTAAGTCCACAACCAGCCACTTTGCCCATTCCCACACCAGAGTGAAAGATGCTCTCGGCCAGGTTGTTGATCTTTTCTTTCTCTGTAATCCCAGTGTTCAGAACAGTGACTAACATATGCTATGTACTGAGTGAATCTTTAGCTTAATTGAATAAAGATCATTTTACTAACCTTTTCTAAAGTTTTACTTCTCGCTCCTAACCCCTCTATACCCACACACTCTCAAGAAGATGAGCTGTCCTCCTCCAATGCTGACAAAAATAGAGCTATTTGACAGAAATCCCTCAAATTTGACAACTACACAGTTACATGGCAAATATGAGTCTCACTTTAAAAAAACATTTTCAGGAAATGCCTTTTTTTTGTTCTTTGTTATAGTTTTGAGAGTATTGTGGTGCAATCATGGCTCACTGCAGCCTCAACCTTCTGGGCACAATAAATCCTCTCACCTGAGCTTCCTGAATAGCTGGGACTCCAGAAGCATGCCACCACACCTGCTATGCATTCATTTCAGCAACCATTTTCCAGTATATGCCCTGCTAATATCAATATCCATTTTTAAGTTATTTTCTTGTTTAAAACATGTTTTCTATAAGAAGTAATTAACTGTACACATGAATACCATGTGTATGTATGTAGGTATGTGTTTGTATTTTATAAAAGAAATTTCCCTTTACATTCACATTCTCCCCAGGTATCCTAGAATTTAGACCTGTCTGTCTCTATAACCTGTCACA